CCCTGGCCACAGCACTTTAGAGCTTGCTCATTCATGCCCTGACTTACAGGTTTTGGTTTTCACATTTCTAAGACACAATTATTTCCTCATTATAAAAATTAAGTCAGATGCATATCTGAAGTTCTAAAGATAGAAACTATATGTGTGTTTTCAGATGTACAAATGTGTGGGCTCCTGAGGCAGAAAGCAAGTTTGAAATTAAGCAGAGGAAATCCTTTTTATGTTTTCTAATATTTCCCTAAGTGGTAACAAATTAGTTGCCAAGTATCTCTCTTTGGGTGGTGTGGTTTAGTGTTCCCAAGACTGGGAAAATAAACTTAACTTCTGATTTGTGATAAATTATCGCCTGAGAATGAGACAGATTAGAATAAAGATGTAGATTTACTCTGAAGTAAGAAATTTCATGGACTGGTTTCTGGACATGTCTCCTTTGCAATGAACACCACTGAGTCATAACATGCAAGGAGTATTACCCATTGTTGAAATGGCCATGCATTCCTAAAGATATGGTGATTTTACAACGTTAAAATCACACTGTAAGCATTAAACATGGTGTCCTTTATGGAAGATTGCTAAAATCCAATAATTCAAGAGCAGATCATTTGATGTATTGCCTAAATATTTTTCCTTACATACACATAACTTCTTCAATGACAGTTATTTTGAAGATATATTTGGCACAACAGGATTCCTTACCTACCATCTCTAAGATTAAGTTATTAAACTGCTTAATCTACATTAAAAAGAGAGTGCTTGCAGCCCTCCTGGTGTGGCTCAGCGGCTGAGCATTGACCCATGGGCCAAGAGGTCACTGGTTCGGATCCTAGTCTGGGCACATGCCAGGGTTGCAGTCTCGATCCCCAGTAGAAGGTGTTCCGGAAGCAGCCAGTTGATGTTTCTCTCTCATTGATATTTCTATCTCTCTAGCCCTCTCCCTTTCTTTATCTGTAAAAAAAAATCACAAAAAAACATACTTTAAAAAAAGAGAGCTTTCAGATATGTCAGCCAATGTGAATATGCATATTTCAGACATCTTTATGTCTAAATCAATTTGCATTGTATAAAATTCTAAAATCAGAAGTAGTCAAGTTGTTGGGCCAATGATAGATTTTAGATAAAAAGAGTTATACATATACATTCATTCATTATATATGTGATGCTTTATATATAAATATTTATATTTTATATAGAGAGAGTATCCAAAAATGTAAACACACACGTTGAATAGTTATAAAGGCAGTGTTTATTAACATGTATTTCATTTTCAAAATTGAGCTATCAGCTGTTAAAGTGCATATACATTTTTTGGGACACCATATATTTATGTTATCACTCATATTATGAATATAAAACATTCTTGTATGTTGTAATGATTCACCTGTACATTGCTTATGGCAATTATTGATAGTTAATTTTCAGAAATGCATTAGTTATGTATTTGAGTTTTCAAATTTTATCAGGACTATATCTATCCTGTGAAAAGCTCAATTTTCTCTCACACAGAAATAAAGATGTGTGTGTGTGTGTGTGTGTGTGTGTGTGTGTGTGTGATATTTATGGTATAGAGTGAACTGCAATACTGTAGTCATTTGATTGACTTTATATCATTTGAAAAAATATCTTATAAATTAAGATGCAAAATTGAACTATTTAGGATGACAGTATTTAGATCCCTCCCTAAGGGAGATTGTGCAATAGTCAAATGGGGCTATATGACTACAGAAAATTATTCTTAAGGCTAAATTTAATGCTAAATAAGTATTCCAATTTATCTGATAGTCACATGATTCTTCAGACAATCATACATTTTAAAAATTAGAAATTGGAAACTTTTTCTATAGGCAGAACTGTCTAGATTTTTAGCTGTTGGACTTCAGAATTGCTTTGTCTTTGCAATATAAACATGCTTATTTCTCAATTTTTCTCATATGCATACCATTTGGATTAGTCCATTTTTCTGGTAGAGGGTGAATTCTGTTGAAGAGAAATCATGTTATATTGAGTAAAGGATTAAAATAAAAGTAAATAATTCCCTTATAATCTCAGATTGCTCCAGAAGACAAAAGTAAATCTTGGATCAATTATTTTTGCTTTTATTTGTTCTGCCCAGTGCCTCTAAAATTGTTTTCTGATACAAATATTTGTTTTTGGTTACACTCACTTATGCAAATAGGGGCAGTCTTTTATAATTTGCTTTAAAAAAATCCTATAGGTTCTAATTCAATATATCTATTCTGGGATCCATTTTCTCTAAGGTGCAGAAGTTTACCTACATTTATAGTTTTAAGGCTTGAGAAAACACTCAACAGTATTATTCTTTATTATACACAGGTTATTGAGGGGATTTTGCAAATATATAACAAAAGATACACATGGCAGAAATCCTCCTAATGCAACTCCCTTTCTTTAAAACGTTTCCCCCTCCTCTACCCTCTCTGCTTCCCTCCTCTGCCTCTCACCCTTCACTTAGCTTCTCTTCTTCCCTTTTTCTTTTGTTTTTTCTTTTTGGTCTAGCTAATCATGCATTATGTGTCTCTTTTCTGTACCAACCTATTTATCTTTTTATTGATGTTACTTCAAAAATAATTTTACTATCATAAATTCTTATTTGACCCCTGCAGTTATTGTTTACTTTATGCTCATACTTTCTGCTGTTAGTGCAAAAGTGTCCCTTCTATTTTCTTCACTGTCTGTGAACTGCTGCCATCAAAATTGCAGCCTAATCACAAGGTGAACAGCTTATAATGTATCACAATCAATACTCAAAATTTGCTCCCTAGGATGTGACATGAAGGAGTCAAGTAAAAAGCTGCAGATTTTCAGCAGTAAAGTGCAAACAATCATTTTATGTTGAAAATCAAGGTCGATTTTCACTTTCATATATCTGCATTATTCTATCACTTTCACTCTCTTTTTAAATCCATATTGAATTTATTCAGTGTTAGGCTATCCAAATAGCTGAAATTGAAGGCCAGTCACAATTGGAATATAAAACTATGTTATTATGTTTCAAAGAAAGTGTATGGATTGCAAATGAATTTTTAAAAAAATTTGACTCTAAAAGATTCAAAGGTATCACCAAGTGAAATAGGTAGTAAAGTGTTCTATTGTATTTTTGGAGGACAAAATTGGTTGAATGAAATAATACCTTTTTTTCCTAACACTTACTGGCACATATATGGAAGTATTATTTATGATTCCCATTCAGAATAGGTAAAGAAAATAGATACCAGATATTAAACTTTTCAGGATATTTTTTTCTATAAAATTTCTTTTGTACTTTAAATCTATACAGGAAGGCATTTTAGAAAATGTTATGTTTCTGGATCCTTCTGCTTCTCTTTGTGTTCATCTGCCCAACAATTTCATGTCAGATAATATTTGAGTCTCTGGGTGAAAGATCAGTTGGAAACTGCATTTCAGCATACTTACCTGCATTACATACTAAACTTAACATATTTAATTTGCTCACAGGTAAATATATTTTAAAAAAACATGACAAAACATGAAATACCTAAATACATTTCAAATGTTTCAAGTGTTAATGATACATGCTAAGTAATGCCACAGTATTTTGTTCTGTCATGACAGTATTTAGATAAGTTTAAAAAATGTTTATGTCATAGGAAATTATTTCATCTTAAAATCTTCTGAGATAAATCAAGTTGTATTGTATATATTTTTTTTCTTTTTTGGAGAGGGAATTATTTATATGTTTTAAATATGAATTCAGATTTTATTTATGGCTTTGAAAAGTAACTGTATAAATTTATCTATGCTATTAAATTTGCTTCTCCGTATTTTAAATATCTTTCATGTGGACAGTTTTCTCCTTGCACATGACACTATAAATTTGTCGAGATCCTCACGCGTCAATTTAGTGACAACCCCAAGGGTTCTTAAATGTGTAGGGAATTCTATTCCCATCACACAGAGGTAAATTGTAAATATCCTCTCCTAAAAAAAGTTTCTGATTTAAAGGATCATTAAACATTAAGGGGAATAGCTATTTTAGATGAAAAGGACAACTAGGGAGAGGAAGTTCAAAGTTATAGTTTAAAATATTGGGGTCATGGAAGTATGCAGCTGTTCTCATAATGAAGAAATTTTCTTTCATGTTTTCCTGTTCAGCATCTTTGAAATAAAGGTCATTAAAAAAGCTTTATTTAGATTATCTATATTTCTATGAAAAAAAGAGAGAAGCAAAAATTCTCACAGAAAGCAGGCAAAAGAGAGAAGCAAAAATTCTCCCAGAAAGCACTATCATTCAAAATAGGAAATCATGATTTGTCATTCACTCTGAACTATATCTGTTGACTAAAACCATTTTCACCTACTTACACCAAAAACAAAAATCTAAAGTGAAAAAAACTGATTATATGATCCATACCCGTATCTAATAAAATAGAAATGTGCACTTTTTGACAAGCTTATTCATAACACATTCTGATAAAAATTTCCATTTGCTACTCTCAGCAGGAAAAATAGGCTTTTAAAGGAAAGCTTTTATTTTATGCTGTCACCAAAATAACAATTACAAGGAAAATAGGGATAAAACATTTAAAAATAAGCTTAGGACTTGTTATAGAAGTCTGCAATCCAGTTTTTGCCCTGTTATCTGGTTTGAAAAATTAATCCGAGTAATCCTCTTTGAAGCTCACTGTTTCTAGGATGGGTTATACAGAACAAAGACTAACTGATGTCCCAAGGACATTAGTTTTCAGTGTTGTTCTATTCTACTGAGAATGATTCTCCAATGGCCACTTTTTCTTCTTCCCAGGCTATGGGAATTCATTAATATCTAGAGACTAGACTTAAATAAAACCATTGTCTCAACCAGCAGGTTTATGCAACCATCCTGAAATGTTTTAATTATTGTTTTCTTTTCCTTTTTAATTAAGAGACCAGAGGTCAAGCAGGCCCACTGAGAGCTGAGCGGAGCCTTGGTAGAAATGTAAAGGCAACTCTAATGATGGGACTTGCTGTTTTTTGTCTTGCAGAACCAGAAGAGTGCATTAATTGCACAGATGAATGCCGAGTGCTTGGTCATTCTGACAGGTGTTGGATGCCACAGTTCCCTGCAGCCAATCAGGCTGAAAACGCAGATTACCGCACAAATCTCTTTGTACCCACAGTTGAAGCTAATGTTGAGACTGAGACTTACGAAACTGTGAATCCCACTGGGAAAAAGACCTTTTGTACATTTGGAAAAGACAAGCGAGAGCACACTATTCTCATTGCCAATGTTAAACCTTATTTAAAAGCCAAACGTGCCCTGAGCCCTCTCCTCCAAGAGGTGCCCTCAGCATCAAGCAGCCCCACCAAGGCATGCATGGAGCCTTGCACCTCAACGAAAGGCTCTCAGGATGGTTGCGAAGCGAAACCAGGAGCCCTGGCCGAAGCAAGCAGCCAGTATTTGCCCACTGACAGTCAGTATCTGTCGCCCAGTAAGCAACCAAGAGACCCTCCCTTCATGGCTTCCGAACAGATGGCAAGGGTCTTCGCCGACGTCCACTCCAGAGCCAGCCGGGATTCCAGCGAGATGGGGGCCGTTCTCGAGCAGCTTGACCACCCCAACAGGGATCTGGGCAGAGAGTCGGTGGACGCGGAGGAAGTCGTGAGAGAAATTGATAAGCTTTTGCAGGACTGTCGGGGAAATGACCCTGTGGCTGTGAGAAAGTGAGAGGAGGAAATCAAACAACAACAACAACAACAAAAGCATTGGCATTTTCTGATCTCTTCTGTTGATGTAAAAATGATCCCTCCTGGTGACAACCTGGTTTAGAGGGATGAAGAGACCAATGCTGCTTTAAGGCTTTCCGTGAACATCTGAAGTGCCCACAAGTATGTCCTTTTCACTGCTATTTTTTTTTTTCAGAGATAACAATGGTTGTGTTTTGACCAAACTTATATTAGGACAGAATTGATGATGCTCAAAGAGGAAAGAAAAACAGAGAAGAAAAAGGAGGATGAGGAGGCAAGATACCTTTTGACCATCTGTTAGGAGGTATGCGTGGGAGAAGTGAAGTGTTCCTGATCACTGTAAGACTGTCCTCCGTGACTTACGCTGACTCCACTGTTTACCTATAAACCCCGTACAAAGCAGGGTCATAATGTGTGCTCTGTGGTGGATTTTTAGCAGTCATCACAGGCTTCTACTGAAAGTCCCGCAAAGACCTTGCAGTAGTCCGAGCTACACCAAACATGAATACATATTTGTGGTAAGCATTTCTGTACAAAGTTACCTGCCACACATATCAACACAAAGAACATTCCATATCATTAGTTGAAAAAAAAATTAAAAATACTTGGTCATTTGTAAGGCGCCTCATGTCGTATAAAAGTTAAGTGTAAAAAGATATAGTCCATTTTGTCCTGCACACACACAGACTGATTCACTTCATTAAAAGAGGAGAAAATTTGACGTTTTAAAATTTCTCTTTAGCATTTTAGTGTCCTACAAATATATAAATAATGACGGATATATTTTTAATTTGACCGAGAAAGATTCTGAAAAATAGTTACCATTGAGTAATACTATTCAGAGAAAATTAACATGATTAATGTGTTTTACTTATTTGTGGACACTAAAATAGCTTTGGAAAGGGAAAATGTCTTAGACATACACCAATCACATGATCATTTATATGTGCAAATGTAAGAAGATTCAATGTGTTTACATCAAATGACATATTTTTATTGATTTATTGCAGATTCAGTGCATATGAGCCAAATTGTTGAGTGTATAAGAGCTATATTGTGTATTTTATTAAATTAATATATAGTTGTGTTGCAAAAATATTTGGGCTTATATTGTAAATGGCAAGTGTTGCCTCAGTAGCTGTCGAACTCTATGAGTTTTGTTTTTTCCTGCTTCCTTTTCCCCATGGAGTGTGGGAAGCAGTGCCTCAGAGCAAAGTCTCTTGTTTAATGTATAGTCTACCAAGTACTACAGTACATAATCTGTTCAAAATGTGTTTGAGTGAGCCGATGGAGCTATATGAAAGGTCAAAAAATACATCTGTCAGTCATGGTTATGTGCAAGTCCTTGTAGAAGCTTTTATTAAAGTCATGCTAAATCACACGAATGGCATTGTACCAATACCTGAAATTTCTTCATGTTTTCTCAATAACATACAGTTTCTGCCTCTGTAGATATCATACTGTTGATTGGTTTTAAAAGTATCTTATGTGGTTCAAGATGTGTGTTCCCATTGATTTCAAAACCATGAAAAATGCTTTAATGCATGTGTGATACCAGCCCTGGTTATTTGCATTGTGTAGTGTTTTTCAAGAGGCCTGGGTCTCAACAGAATGTTTTCCATTTTTCTCAATGTTCTTCTGCCCCTTTTTATTGGTGTCCTTTGAGAAAAATACACCTATTCCTTCATTTGCTTGCACTTTTTTTCTTGTGTCATTTAGCAAGTTTCAAACTTACTTCCATGTGAGGCTAGGAAACCTCAAATTTCAGGAATTGGGAAAAATAAAATTAGCACTTGCAGAAGTAGCAGCAGATGGGAAAATGCCTTGATTGACATTTTCCTTCAGTGTTAAAATTTTTTGGCATTTTACAGCTTCATGACAAACAGCTTCCAGCCCATACCTTAGAAAATGTGGTGCTGAGTTAAATAAAGGCTGTTTGTGCACTGGAGCAGAAAAATGCATTATTTGCAAACTGGTGGAGAATTCTGTGCCTTCTTTTCTGGCCACCACGCCAGTGTAGAAACAGCATAAATGTCATAAAATTCCTAGATTAACAAAAACAAGAGTGAAAACAAACACTGAACTGAATTAAGTTTTGTAATTTTAAACCTCAATGAATTCAACTGAAAATATTTCCCTCAAATGCTGTCAAGATTTTAGACTGTACCTCCTTTGCAAATTGCTTTGAAAGGAAGAGTGAACAACTCCCATCAGCCTTATTCTCTGGAGAACTGTATTTGGTTCCTAGTAGCAGCCTTTCCAAAGCTCTATTATTGGTTTTTATCATTTGTAAATGTTTAAATTAGAAAAGAAGGGATCTTGTACATGTGAAACCGAATTGACTGTCTATATTTTGGACAATTTATGTATCTGAAATGTGTTGTCTCTGTTATATGATGTTACTTTTTGCCAGGAGACCACAGGTTGATTTAGCTTGATAGCAGACATTTGATGGATTTCCATTTAGTCTTACCAAGTGTTGCTTCTCTCTTACTAGACAGATAGCCACTTAGTAAAATCTAAGGCAGTATGTAAATGACATAAAAAAGAGATTAGGGTTTATTTTTAAAACATTCTTAACTTTGAGTAACCAGTTGTTCAATTTAGTATATGTGTCTGAAGACATTACAATGCTATAAGACTTTAAGAATTGGTGTGCCAATGTGTGAGGGGTTTCCCTTTCGGCTCTCTGTCACCAGTGATTTACTAGTGTTAGCTGTTTAACACGTTATCTGCATTTAGTAGTGGTTGTTTATTTGCAAGTTGGTGGTAATTCAGCAGTCAGGATTCTAAGCTTTTATAACTGAATTGAGGGAATCTTGCTCTTCTTCATGCTGGCAACTACCTTTATCACAGACCTCTGGTGCTCGACTTCCAAGGAAGTCTCTGAGATGCCAAAATCACCCTTTTGGGGAGCAACTTGCTCTAAGAGGTGACACACAATCCAACATCGCTGTTTCAAGGGGTTTCAGCATCATTCAGAATATAAAAAATTAATTCACGTCTCCATTTACTAACCCTCAGAAAAACTCCACACATTCAAAATGAATACTTTGATGATACTTTTCCTTTTAGGTTCTTAAATAACTGATGTCAAGCACAGAATAGTAATTTATATGAATTTTCATAAGAAAGTCAAAGTTTTAAAAATTGTTTACTGATGAACTAAAAAAATCAGTAACAAAATCTTTCCATAACATGCTAATGATGAAAGATCTTTTCATCAAAGTTAAAAGTAGTAAGAATCAGTGTTAGTTATACCTATACCAAAGTAAACATTAAAGAGACATTTCACACAATTTCAAACAATGCTTTCATATTCTTTCTTAACCTGACATCCAATTGCAGGCAATATACAAAGATTGGCTCACTGCTCTATTAATTAATTGAATTCCTGATTTGGCAATTGACTTGTTTTTTTTTTTCCTAAATTAGCAGAGATCTTGTAAAATATGACTTCCCTGTAAAAGATCTAGGCACTGCTCGATTTAAAAAATGACACCATAAAAATATGGTCATGTAGTAAGAGAACAGTATGCTTTATTAGAACCAGGTTAAAAACTGTTCATTGCCTAATGGAGTAGAAGTTGCTGAGGTCAACTGGGAAACTGAGGTCTGGCATAATATATGCCCACTCATCATTGTCTAATTATATTATATTATTTTGACAACAGACAGCATTTATTAGAGCATTAATTCAAATGAGAGTTTTGGCTATCAAGATGTGTTTTGAAACATAATTGAATGAGACCTGATTAAAGGCTGACTTTCCTGGCCCCAGTGTTTTGCAGGTTGGCTATTTCCATATATCAACTCCATCACACCATAAGGTTCTTAGCTGCACCAAGTGATTGGTGAACAAAGACAACAACAAAAGCAGCATACATTTTATGGATTTATCTCAATGCTATTATTTAATGGCTGTGTTTATGTGACCTATCTGGAAAATGAGGACTCCGAATAAAAAGCTATTACTAATAGTGGCATTGCATTCCCTTGGATTCATTAACACACAAGTGATGTGTTACACACTGCATGCCCCAGGGACCCTGGTCATAATTAATTTGGAAAGCAACTGTGGCAGCACAACTGTTTATGCTAGTTATTTGTTTGCCAGTAAAATAAGATTTTAAAAAATTTTATGTAACAATAATGTCACTAAGCTCTCTCAGAAATGGGTTAACAGTCATCCAGATTGTTTAGATAAGTTGACTAGTCAAATAATTTCCAGGGATTCATACTATAAAGAAACGCGTGGTTTTTAATATTTAAAACTGGTTTGAGGGTAATTTGGTATAAGATCCTACTACTCCAGGATTTTAGAAATAAGCCCTCTCATAATCTTACATTATTGACGAGAGTACATATTTATAAATGACATTTTAAAGTAAAATCATGTTCATCTTAGCAACTTAAAATAATAAGCTTCTCTTCCTACTCATTCAACAAACATCTACTGAATTTCTGTTGTGTGTTTGCCGTGGGCTGTTACGCCCCAGGAGTAAACAGTAAACAGGGATTGATGCCTGGGTCACAGCCTGGTGAGAGAAACAAATAGGTAAGTTCTAATACACATGACTGTTTATAAATTGGATTTAATTGTTTGCATTTTCCTCAGTTACTCCGCAATCTGACTCTCAGTGAGGGGCATCTCCTAAATTACAAATCAACATAATAGTCTGCCCATTTAGATTTTCTTTTAATTTTAATTTTCTTGTGAGGACATAACTTATATCAAGAAAACTGCATTGCTTTTTCATGCTGAAGAAGATGTCTAAGGTTTACAGTTATTGGGATAGACTCCATGGCTTATCTACTCAGTCTTTTGCTCATTTTGTTTGTCGACCTCTCTGTTTCTTTTTCATTGAGCATCACTTAGGTATCAGGTGCTTCACAAGGATGCTGAGGTACGAAGAACTACACCATTACATTTTACCCTCAGAGTACTTATAGTTTGTGCCTACGTGATATACATTACACTAAAATAGAAATTGACCTTATGTTGCCATGACAACATTACTTTTGTATAATGAAAATAAATTCATTCTTAAGAAGAACAAAAGCTACATGCCTATCGTGCCATTCACTGCTTTCAAGAGTGAAATGAGAGCAAGCTGTTCACGGACTCAACTGAACCGTCTGATCAGTGTTGAGAGAGCACTGAGGTGCTGAAATGAAGAACCTACCTGGCCATGCTACAGTCAGGAGGAAGTGATGAATGAAACATATATTACAGGCTTACTTCATGGCAATGAAGGATGGACGTCCCATGAATTAATGTTTATTTAAGTAGGTATGCTCACAAGTTACAATCATTTAATAATTGTAGACAACAACTCTTTGTAAAACATGAACAGAACCCATTCTTAAAGTTCATCAATGTGGCACACAGAAATAAATCAGCAAGTTAATGGACCATCCTCAAACCTCTTCAGTATGTGTTTGTGAGATGGTTGCACGTGGTTCACCAAGGAAATGTATCATTTTCTGCTCATTTTAGACACTATAATACTGGACAAGCCACTGTACATTAGGAATTAAATTATCAATATTCTTAAAAGAGGGTCCCCATTTTTAGTATTTTAGAGTCATAAAACACTACTGGTTTTTTTTTCCAAACTAGTTTAAATGGTAATGAGTATCTTACATGCAAAGATGTATTAAGGGGGGAAGACTTCAGGGAGCATTTGCAAACTGTCTCACACCAGTTTGACATCACCCAATTAGATCAAGAAAACTATTTTATTTTTGTCTTTCAAATGAAACACTTCACTTTAAGAGGAACTTAATATTTATTCCCCTCCTTTTTAAACGCATTAAATTATCTGTAACATTTTAATAAATAACATTTTGAGTATGATTTATATTTAAAAATCTAGTTGCCTGAAGTTATGTTATTCAGTCAAACTGTTCATAATATTGTTTTATGATTGTTAAAAAACAAACATTAAATTTGGAACCCTCTCTCTGTTCACTTTATACAGATTGTCATATTTCGTGGAAAATATTGGCGTTCATCATTGCTTGCATGAAAATCATTCTTACTTCCCTAAGGGTTTTCAGCACCAGGAAGACTGACTAAGAGTTACACAAATATAAATTAATACTGATACATTCTGCTTGTAGAGAACTTTCCAATTTACAGAGCATTTTCACAAAATTATAAGACAGTACAGAGTTAAGGATTCTGAAGCTTAACAAGGCAAGTGCACTTATCCAAGGACATTAAGCTAGGAAACCTTAAAACCACACTGAACTGAAAGTCCTGTTGCTGTGTTTGTTTAAGATTTTGTGAATCTGCAATCTTGTCCTATCTAATCTCCTGCCTCTCTAGTGTCTTACATTTATCATCTGAAAAATTATATTACGCTAGTAATATTCCTCCCCCCATAAATTAAGTCACATCATAGAATTTAGATAGCCTCTATGTTAATTGTTCATAACGGTAGTAAATAAATCTAAAAGCAGAGAATAGGAATGACAGTTTCCAAGAAAATTTAATGACGTAAGAATTGTGCTTCCTTTAAGATTCCCTCAACTTTTTTACCTTAGTGTTATGTTCTCAAAAATATTCTAAAAGGCCCTGACTGGTTTGGCTCAGTGGATGGAGCATCGGCCTGTGGACTGAAGGGTCCTGGGTTCGATTCCGGTCGGGGGCATGTGCCTTGGTTGCGGGCACATCCCCAGTGGAGAATGTGCAGGAGGCAGCTGAATCGATGTTTCTCTCATCAATGTTTCTGGCTCTCTATCTCTCTCCCTCTCCCTTTCTCTCTGTAAAAAAAAAAAAAAAAAAAAATAAAATATATTTAAAAAATATTCTAAAAGGATATTATGAAACATTATTTTTTTCCATCAACCCGATATATTTTCACCTGTAAGCAGTCATAGAGACTTTATGGAATTCCTTTATATCATCATTTGGCATATACTAAACTAATAGGATTATTAATTGGCTTTTTAGAAAAAAATTACATAAACTCTAGTAATATTGAAGATACTTTAAAATATTATATCCATTACATGAGAATTAATATTACATATATAGGCATGAGAGTAAAATATTCCAAAAACCAGTATCACAAAATTAAGAACAGGTATTTCAGCAGTAGTAATATAGCTAAGGAATGAACAACACATTTTAAAAAAATTTATAACCTGTCCCCACTACATTGGATACAATATTGCACCACTCAATTCTTCAACAATCACATGAAAATGAGAGATCACAATTGTCAGTTATGCCATTTTCAGGCTAGTTAATGAAAATTTTCTGATTCTGCCTGAATTTAACTTACTAGTACATTGTTCATATCTCTTTTTTCAGTTTACAGAAAACCAACCTTATTCTGAGGAAATTCAGAAATACAAAAGTTCTTCTAACACTAATTAGCTAGTTTTATATTTTGGAAATCTAAATTCAAATAGGTGGGATGTGATATTCACTTGTTCTATTGATTGGCTGAATATCTCATTGCTACATTTTTAGCAAATTAAATCATATTTTGATATTTTCTTCTACTATTGCAGCTAAAAAATTATGTTTGCAATATAATAATTGAGTTAGAGATAAGGTTTTTTTTATTTTTTAATCTTATCTTTTCTCTTTTAAAATCAAGCTTTTATCTATATCCACTTAATGTATTAATCATTATATAATATTTATCTGTCTTATATGTAACTATTTTCTTATTTTATCTTTAGTTCATAATTTTATCTCAATATCAACTATTATGTAGTTTTTCTTATCTATTTTTCTATTATTTGTGTTCATATTTACATGTATTTTCATATGTCTTTAGGCTTATTGATCAATTATGAAGACAATGATGTCTCACCCCAAAATTATATAAGGTGAAAAATGCCCAAACTGCTTTATTAACCTACTAGAGGCCCAGTGCACAAAATTTGTGCATTGGAGGGGCGGGGGCTCAAATTGGCCTGTGCCCTCTTGCAGTCCAGGACCCCTCGGGGGATGTCCACCTGCCACTTATGCCCACTCTCCACAGCAGTCGGACATCCCTCTCGCAGTCCGGGACCCCTCGCTCTTTACTGCCTGCCTGCTTGCTGCACCTTACCACTCAGCTTGCTGCTCCTTAGCGCTGCTGCCGCTGCACTTGCCAGCCTTGAGCCCAGCTTCTGGCTGAGTGGTGCTCCCCCGTGGGAGCACACGGACCATCAGGGGACAGCTCCTGCATTGAGTGCCTGCCCCCTGGTGGTCAGTGCGCATCATAGCAACGGGTCGTTCTGCTGGTCGTTCTGTGTTTGGTTGGTTTGCATTTAGGCTTTTATTATATAGAATGGGAAAACTAATAATATATTTTAGGTATAACCTACATCAAGTATTAAAATGAACAAAATGCATAATAAAATATAACAGAGGCATGCAAAGGGTAAATAGGTAAGGATGCAGGATCTTAATTAAAATCTTTATGCAAGAGTGCTAGCTAATTCGTTGAAAGGTTGAAAGTGAATAATTTTACTCTATTATTATAAATTTTTATATGTTAAGAAATATTCGTTTTAATATCTCATCATGTGAAATATTTGGTGTTGATCAAAGATAAGAAAAGACTCTTAACTCTGATTATGTGCTCATGATTGCTCAATCTGCATCTCTTCTCTAGCCACCTCTAAATTTCAGCTTATGTATATTTCATCATTACTTTTATTTTGGATAACTGCTAAGATTTACTTTCTGTTTATAGTACAGAGGAAGGAAGGAAATAAATGAATGGGTTAAATGTGGCTTCTCTGGGAATGTGACATCCAATGCAATTCAACAGTAATGTATGGAGCATGCATTGTGTTGTTTAAGACAATGGGGCACATGCATATTAACAAAATGCGGCCTCTGTCTCTACAGAATTTAAAGTATCCTGGGAAGTAAATATATTTACACAAGTACAGTCTGTAGTTGGTACTGTGAGAGAAGTACAACTTGCAGTGGGAGAAAAAAGAGAGAGCGCAAGTCCTTTCAGCTGAGGAAATGAGAGGTGGCTGAGGGAATCAGTAACAGCTTCTTAGAGAAGGCAGCATTTGAATTGAGCATTTGAGGTGGGACAGGATTTTGGCAGTGGAGCTATACAGGAAATACATTCGGGAAGAAGAGAGGCAGTGTGTGCAAAAACATTTAAATAAGTCAGAACATTTTCTGGTTAGAAATTAGAAAGGATTGAATGGTGTGATAGGTCCAGTTGGAAATTGTACCAAATTCTGAGATGAGCTATCACACACATGCCTATTCCAAAGAAGAAGAGACTTGGGGACACCTGAATTAGGCTCACTAGCTGGGGGAGCCCTGCGAGAGGCTTGCCAAGCTGAATGTGAATTCAGGAAAATAACATGAGGACAGCTTGCTGCTGCCTGGTGAGCCATTCTTTCTAAGATGCTGCCTAATAGCACCTTGTTCTTGGGTTGCATCCAACTATCTAAAGGCGATGCCAACTTTGCTGAATCTTGCAATTCTCAGCTTCAAGCCTTCAGCAGAGTATTTATGTGTATGTTTCCAGCTTCCCAGAAATAATTTTTCCTTTGAAATCTGTAATCGTGTTTGGAACATTGGGAGGCAAAGAGAGACAGAAGAAAAAAAGTGCAGATCAATGGATGATTTTCATCTCTGAAAAAGAGTTTTGTTTTTTTTTTTTTTTAATATTTCCAGATTCTCCAAGCACCTCCTGGTATCTGCTGTGTGAAGTCTGTTGGGCAGAATAATTTGATTCCTAAGAAATGTTTTCAATGTATTCACTGTCCCAGGAACCCCAAGGCTGATGATTATGTGTCCTATCTTATGCTTCCAAATGTTCTATGCATATCAGTAGAGGAGCTTACAATGATCGATTATTTAGGCAATAAAATTGGGAATAATGACTTTTGATTAGTGGTTTCCAACCAGGGGCAATTTTGACCCCTGGGGATATTTGTCAGCACCTAGAGACAGTTGCGGTTGTCAAGAGGTGGGGGTACTGTGTTACTACTGTCATCAAGTAATAACCAAACATCCTTCAATGCACAGTACAGCCCCCACCCCACTAGATTTATCCTGCCAAAGTGTCAGTAATACCCATGTTGAAAAATCCTGCCTTAGAAAAGATTTTTAAAAAGAGTGGTGAACAACATTTGGGTTTAGATAATGGGCATTGGATACTAAATGGATTGACATGTTTTTTTCCAGAGTTTTGGGAGGAGTCCTGAAAATACTTCTAAATTAGTTAGCATAAGGACCTATTTCCAACTTCTTGGGGGTATATTCTGCTCTGTAGATTGGCAGGGCTAGTGTCTTCTTGCAGCTGAAAATATTATCTCAGATTCTACTCAGTTCCAATAGCACATACATTGGAAGAATCTCCATGGAATAGAAAAGTGTTGGTTGAGATGGCTGTTCACTTCTACCAAAGCAGTTTAAAGCTAAATCCCTAAGGAGGGCAGGTGAAACACATTCCCCAGCTGTAAAGGGAGGGGAAGAGTCTTCCTCTGGGACTAGCTCGAGGGTCTAGTCCACTGTTGCCTGAGAGGTCACAGGATCAACATATCTCCCAACCTCAAGTCACCTGCCCTTAATGTGTATGTGGAATCTGTCTCAACCAAGACATTAGGAGTCTGTGGGGGGCAGAGTGGAAAAGGTGATGATGGTTGGGAAGGTGGCAGATCAAGAAATGACAACATTTGAGCAGAAGCTAGGTGGCCATAAACATGCCTGGATGCAGAAGAATGAATGTCTCTATTGATCTCTCAGGCTTCTTCCTGCCATAAGTACTGATTTTAATCCTTTCAAAGTAATATGTGGAATTCAAAAAAATGTCAAATTGACTTTCTAAATGAG